ACCGTGTGAGCTGGGAAAGTAGACAAAAGAGCTGCAGTGGCCTGAAAGGTGCAAAAACTGGTGGAATCTTAGGGCAGAGGGTGAAGTGGAGAAGCTATGAATCAGAACCCCCGAAGGCTCAGGAATCAATGCCGTGAGGCACTCCTGGAAGGGGAGTGAAAGAAGGAAGACCTCCCCTGCTGTCCAAAGTGTGCTGATGCCGTTCCTCAACAGGCATGCAAGCCCCTTCAATGCAGAGAGCCAAATAAAGCGTCTCTGCACTGGGCATGCCACGTGCAGCTGAACGCAGGGGTCACAGCGTCGAAAAGAAGAGGGATTAAGGGAATTTGCCTACTACCCTGCAAAACTGACTAACCCAGAAGAACAGAGAAAATGACTTGAAGTGCATAAAATAAAATATATAGACTTATAAAAGAAACCAATTATATTAGCATGCACCTAATAAGATATAAAAAAAAACTCTGCTTTAGTAAGTGCTTCTAAATGAATGTATTAAGTAGCAAAATAGCAGATCGATTAAGAACAGCAATGTAGTGAGAAGCACAAAAAATATTTTGAGATATCTGCCAAAACCAATCTTAGACAATATCTGACTTTCACTGGTGACAAAGTTACAAGGACACTAATATTACCAACTGTGGTTTATTGCCTGATTTTATGATGGAAGAAAAGGTGAAGTTTCAGATAAAGGTTAAATGAAAATAAAGACATGATTTCTTTCCAATTAAAGTTCCTGGATATTCTAAATACCATCCATGGACCCAAAAACTAGATTAAAAACTCCTGTCCTAGCATTAAGATCATATTTGAGAAGTCTCACCCACACACAATCATAAATATATTTTTCTTAAGTATTATCAGACAGCCAATAATCACCAGACTTTGAGGAAGCCAGAACACTGCAGGCAAATGGACGATCTTATAAGCATCCAGACAGGGACAAAAGGACTTTAAAAAACAACAAGGGGCGCCTGGGTGGCTCAGTCTGTTAAGCGTCTGTCTTCAGCTCAGGTCAAGATCCCAGGGTCCTGGGATCCAGGTCCGAATTGCATCTGGGGCTCTCTGCTCAACAGGGAGACTGCTTCTTCTCCCTCTTCCTCTGACCCTCCCCTTGCTTATGCTTTCTCTCTGTCAAATAAATAAATAAAATCTTTTTAAAAAAAAAAAA